ATAGGTGAATGTACTTTAAAAAAAAATTTAATGATGCCATGGACCAAGGTCAACAACTTTTTGCTTTGATTTCGTCTGACTAGACAATTGTTTATTTGTGGGAAATTTTTGTTAAGATGACAAAAAGCACAAAGGAAGAATTTTGCAAATGAAATTTGTGCTCATTTCTACAAAGTGTTTCTTTAGGAAAAAAGGTTTTTTGTTTTTGTTCTGGTGGTTTGTGAGAGATAAAATTAATGAGGGAAGGTCTATTTACATAATGTGTTTTGAATTCATCTAGTTCCTCCCTTGCATGAAAATATTAAAGATCTATTTATTTATTTACCTTGTGAAGCCCTGGGAATAGGCTACTGAAGGAAACAGACATTATTCCTTCCTGAGAGAGCTCACAGTTGAGTGAAACAGAACAACCATCACGTGACACTAAGCACCATGCAGGCAACAAATGGGAGTGAATGCTCAAGAAAGACTAACAATGAGGAGCATGTCCGAGTGTGGGGAGTAGAAAGTAAGAATCTCTCAAAAAAGGTCAGAGAGCTACCTCCTGGGAAATGAAAAGTAGTCAGCTGGGAGGCAAGGAAACTGAGTACCGGAGGCAGAAAGAGAGCTTAGGTTTTTGAAGGACAAAAGAAGGTGCAAGTGAAGGGGGAGGCCCGTGCGATGTGGTTGGCGAGGAAAACAGAATGGATCAGGCAGTTGCCTGGAATCCATGACAGGCAGGTCTGATTCTGTTCCAAGACCACTGGCAGATAGGATCCTTCTAAAAATAGCACTCAAGCTGTTAAGGATGGGGTGGATTGGGAGAAGGCAATTAAGGAGAGAGGCCTCAGTCACAGACCAGGAGCCAGGGCTCCAGGGAGATGGCAGGAATCTGGCTGCTGTAATAGCCCAGAGAAGGAAGAACAAGATGAATTCAAAACACATTATGTAAATGGCCCCTCCCTCATCAATTTTATCTCATACAAGCCTCAGAAGCAAAAACAAAAAAAAAAAACTTTTCCTAAAGAAACACTTTATAGAAATGAGCACAAGCTTCATTTGAAAAATTCTTCCTTTATGTTTTTTGTCACCTTACAAAAATTTCCCACGAATAAGCAATTTGTCTAATCAGACTAAAAGCAAAAGAGATGTTGACTCTGGTCCATGGGAGAATTAAAATTTTTTTAATGTGCATTCACATTATTTAACCTACTGAATGAATTTATTTGCCCTTCTGAAATGTGGATTTAAATCAATGTATGATTTTTAAAATATACCCAAATTTTTTTTTAAAAAACAATGGTAGGAATTACAGGAACATGGGGAACCATTTTGCATTTGTTCTAATTGGGTATTGGATTAACAGCTCCATTTGCACTAATTATTAAGGAGCAGAATGATCTCTGAAGATGCACATTTATTACACCTCTGCATGCCTTCAGGTGATGATCCTAATGGAAGAACATGATTTCCATTACCTTGAAAAACATTTCCATTTCCTTGAATAACAAAAGAAAGTGATGGGTCACAACTTTGCATTACAAGATGGATAGCTTTGTTAATGTATGATTTGTGTAACAACCATCTTAAATCATGAATTCGTGGACATTCAAGAACAACGAAATATTTACAAGTAGTGAGGTCTGGCACACAAGATATATTACATGAATGTTTCCAGTCAAAACAAATAAAAACCAGTAAAGGCTTGCCAGTGAACACAAAGTCTCATTAACATTCTCTGCTTGGTGAATAATGGAACTGCTGTAGAGAATGAGCATTGGACACATCATGGAAACCTTTGAACCCACTGTTCACTTGAATAAATATTCATTCTCATTGCTTCATTCCTAATATGATGCACAGTTCAATTTCTAGCAAATTGAGGAGTGGTTTCTTCAGTTTTTTGAACCTGTGATGTACTGTATCTACTTTCTCTTATATTTTCAATATGATGAAGCATAATATATATCTACAATGAAGTTCCCTTTTAATGATTATAATTATCATTGTTATGATCCTCATTTTTATTTTAGCCTCCTCAGTAAGAGCCAGTTTCAAATTTGCTTGAGTTTCCAAAACCATTATCAAAGAGTGTTAACATAACCATTCAACAAAAATCACTGGAAAATTCTTCCTTTTCTTTTTTTCACAAAGATGAACAAAACAGCACATGAAAGCACCGATTAATGCAGAATCACTAGGCAAATGCACACCTCTGCAAAAGTAACCCTCAAGTACCTCCCATCACTTCAACATTAGACTATTTTGTTAATTTCCTGAGGTCTTCTTTCCTCCAAAGAAAAGAAAGTGTTGTTTTAAAGCATCAATACTTTCAAAAGCACATAGGGAAATGGAGAGCCCTATCTGCCTTAGAATATACCATAGGCTTTCTCCTGGCTTTTTGCACTCTCCTTGACTGAAAAAAAGTAGTCAGTCTACATGAAGCCTAGTCTAGTATATTACTCTGCCCGCAAGGGTGCCCAAAATCCTCCTATATCTACCAATCAACAATCATTACATGGTATTTCAAACACAAAAGTGAAGTACTGGTTAAGTCCTTATCTTATATTCAGATAAGGAAAGAGTTGAATGATAATTAACATTCTCATTCATTTAAACTGTTAAAGAACTAGAATTCCAGGAAAGGTCAAAGTAAGCCATAACTAGAGTTTAATGCACAATGCAGTTAATGATGTGCCTAGGACATCCTAAATCTGCAACATTTTTAAAAAATTTTTGCCTTCAGTACAGTAATACATTAAAGAACTGCAAGATGTTAAATTATGGGATAGGGAAGAATTCGTAATGAAAGTTCATTATGTTTTTCACTTCTTCCCCATCCCAAAGTTTAGAATGTTATTCATAAAGACATGTTACTGTCACATTATTTTTCAAGTAGCTTTCTTTTTAAATTATAAAGTGAATGTATTCTCATTACCCAAAAGGTCAGCAAATATATACAGGTATAATGAAGGATATAAAATGAAACGCACCCAAAATCACTTCATTTAAAATATAAAGTCTAGTATATGATGGTGGTTCCTTATACTCTTTACCCAGGCGTATGTAGTTCCTCTGTGCTCGAAAGAAAAAGTCCCAAAATACACACATATAAACCCCCAATGTTCATCACTGTTAAGCAGATTCAAATACTAAATTCAGAAAGTGCATTTTGATCAAGGACTTCAGCACTAGGCACGCCATTAGTAAGTTTTCTAGTATGTACCCCAGCTCTAGCTCCTCAGAACTGTTAACTAGTTTGTCGCAGAGAAATTGCTTTCTAACTCAGACAAACCTTTGCTCTACGGCCTTTCAGGAACACAGCTACCGTAGTTGCTCTTTTTCTGAATCCAGTCAAAAAGGACATAAAACATGCATCATGGAATTCAGAGGGAACTTGACAAAGAATGTCAAGCCTGAGCTTTAGAAATTTCTTTCCAAGTGGAAGTAGACGTAAGGCATTATTTCTCTTCAAGTCAACACCCATCAGATTCTTCAGAAATACTATTTAAAGTAAGTGGTATCCGTCAGGCTAGTGCACATTTTCTGAAGTAAATAAAGCAATTTTTCTGTGTTAGCAAATATTTTGGCTCTGAGATCACATGATCTGTCTAAATCTGAACACAGTTCAGTATCACCCTTCACCACAAGAGTGGACATTAATCGGGAATGTTATGGGGAATACACATGATGTAAATATATAAATAAAAAATAAACTACTAACATAAAAAAACAATCATTTACAACACACACAGGCCTGTGTGTGTCCCAGCAAAATGTCAATTACAAAATCAACACTTTTCTGAAGATGGATGCTGGCAATAATTGAACAACAATATAAATGTATTAAATACCACTCAGCTGAACACTTAAAAATAGCTAGAAGAATAAGTTTTGTTATACACAGCTTACCACAATTCAAAAATACAGAAGATTATTCGTATTTTTCCCATTCCTAGAATACAATATCCTTTTCTGCCTAAAATGCTATATGATTAAATGGTTTTCCTGAAACTGGAAAAACCTCCAAAATATGTTGCATAAATACTTACAAAGATGAAAGTGCTCTTCTACCAAACCTGTCTTTAAAGATTTTGGAACATTCAGCAGTGCTTATAGCTATAACATCATAGGCAAATGAAATGGCAATGGTGTTAGTGGGGATTTTCCCCTAAACTCGTGATCTGAGTGCTCACGTGTGCAGGCTGGTCACTCTGGAAGAAATGTCTCCATTAGTTAAAAGTGGAAAGGGTGACCTGCTTCACAGGCAAGCTGCTTTTTAAAACACTTACAAATGAAAAAGTACAATAAGGAAGGTGTTATCTGATTCTAAGAGAACTGATTTTACGATGCATTATTTAGACAATTCAAGTCTCTAAGGCGCCCTTTAGCTGTTTATTCCAACTTTAGTTCTGTTTTCATTTAAAACTTGCATTGATCATTCCTTCTCTTCTTGGGATGTTACTTTCAATAACATATATTATTGTTTAACACATACCTTTCCTTTAATTTTAGGAACGTCCACATATACTTAGGCTAAAAATAAAGGCTTGTCCACATATTAGGTTTAGGGGGATTTTGTATGTTTTGTTTTACTTTTCAGTGTTATTTGTAACCATGAGAAGAAGCCAAGTAGATTCTTTCTCAGTGTAGTCAGGACTAGCTTCTGCACTTCCACACCATGATTAATTTATTATTCATCTGCTACCTTCCTATTAAACTTTGTCTTTAGCCTGTGAACTTTTCTTTCAGCTACCAACAAAGGATTTCATTGCTTTAGGAATTGAGGTGTGTCTAAGTTTTTACCTGGGAGCAAAAGTGATGCAAGCATTTCTGGTGAAACCAATCCTTGGTTTAGGGAGGGGAGGAATCGCATAACTGGTCTTCCGTGGACTAGCAAAGACAGGAGAGACACTGTGAACGGAGAAAAGGACTCTTCTCAGACATCAGATGCAGACAGAGAGCAGGAAGGACTGAGGAGCCTGCTACCTCGGATCTGGTCACCAGGGAAATCAGAGACAATGGCCTGTCTCCTTTTCAGAACCACAGGGGCTCTGGCCATCTTAATGGTAAGTGCTGTCTTTTTTCTAATAATTGCAAACTTTCTCTATTCCCTTCCTTGTTCGAGAATATAATATTCAATTGCTTAATCTCTACTGTAAACACTGGAAAGAGTACAGTGGAAATAATACTTTTAAATAAGACCTAGAGGTTTGCCAATTACCTCCTTTTGTTATTTCTTTAATGTTGCATTTTACATTGGAAAATAAACCAAAGACAACTGAATTTGAAAGTCTTTAGTTAATGAATTAAATAACCTAGATCCCAATCTACTTTCTGATACTCCTTCACTTTCTTTCTTATATTCAGCTGTCCAGTGTTAACTGAATTAGAGAGCCCAAAAAAAGAAGCTGTTCTCTTTTCCAAGATTATATATTTCTTACGCATATGGCTAAGAAGTCTACATGTCTAGTCTTGACAACTAAAATGCTTGTAAAATAGTCAAAGACAGCTGAAATTTAAATCAAAGCAAAGTTTAATTCTAGAGAAGTTGGGTGTGTTGTTAAGAAAACAAGTTTATGGTTAATCATTATGTGCAAAATATACCCAACCTTTAGGGAATGAAAGATAAGAACATTTTTATAGGCCATTTTTTCAAATGCTGTTGATTGGGAAAGTTTTATATCCTATAATCTAAAAGAGGAATGGAATCTGGAGCCATCGCACCAGCTCGATGTTCCTTAATGAGTTTAGTGAAGAAAAATATATCACTGTACTATCTGGTGTGAGGAGATATCAAAACAGTGAAATATACCACGAGTGAATATTTTTTAAATTCCTACTATGCATCAGTTTACCTCACTTCTTCTAAAATTTTGAAACATTGGATTTCAGGAAGCTAGATCTCAAAAAAGAATTCTCCAACACGTAAGCCTTTCTAAAACTCAAAAGGTTGCCTGTGAGTCAGTTTCCCAGCCTTCTCTCTTGTGTCATGTTGAAACAGAAAACTGGTATCACCCTGTCTATTAGAGTCTGTTTCTATCATGACAATGTAACTAATTGTTTTGATAATCAAATAATGTATTATAAAAAAAATATGACAATCGTTGGACTTTTCCTGCTTTCCTAATGGCTGTTTCTGGATGCACTACAGGTAACCTGACAAGCATATGTCAAGCCAATGACCACTTTGGGGAGCAAAGGGATATGCTGTGCCAGAATAGCTGTGTCATAAGGACCCAAACTTGGCTACTACAGCTGAGGGGGGTTCTTTTCCCTGCCTTGACCTAGAGACCACTCTCAGTTACCTCTCTGTTTTGTAGTTGTTGTTTTCAATATTTGATTTTATTTATTTATGCATACAATCAAACTCATGCTGCAGATAACTTCATAGTACTGAGACTCAACCCCTTGTGCCACGAAGGAGACCCCCCCTCTCTCTGGTTTAACAGTGAGAGCCTGCTACTGAGGACTTAACCATATTTGTGTCCCCAATGCTCACTATAATATTTTTTTTACTAAAATATCTTTTACAACTACTTGAAAAATGGATAAATTGATTCAATAAGGCTTTGGTAAAACATAATCTACACACTTGAATATAATCGTGGTAGTCATGGAGGAAACTGTAAAAGTAAGACATTTTCTTCCCCTCAGGAAAGTTCTACACAGACAGCTAAAAAAAAAAAAAACAATGTAACTTCATACATAATCATTAAACTGAGTGGGCTAGCAGTAATCTAACAATATTATAGCCACTAGTCACATGTAGCTCTTAAACACTTGAAATGTAGTTGGTCTGTATTGAGATATGCTGTTACGTGTTATCTACACATCATATTTTGAGGACCATGTAGAAAAAAAATGTAAGCAATATCATCAATAATTTTTATGTTACATATTGAAATAATAGAATCTAGAGATATTAAACACACATAAAAATTAATTTTTTTATAAATAAATAAAGTTATAAAATGCTTTTGCTTTTTTATTTTATTTTTAAAATGTGATCCTTATAAAGTCTAAATTATGTATTTGGTTCACATGTGTACTCCTCCTGTTTCTCGTGGGCAGTGATAGTCAACTGTGAGTCCTCGTTGTGGGAGGCAATGTCAGTCAGAGGTGACATAAGCAAACAGGCTCCAGAGCCTAGGCGACATCCAAGCTGCAGCTTGTCAAATATGGATGGGCCATATTTAACAAAAAGCAGACTGCTTATGGTCTTTGCCCAGGGCTAGTGGGCACTCTGGTTTGGCTGAAATGACAGTTCGCATTGGAGAATCTGGACATAAATTGGAAAAGCAGGTGAGGGTCAGGTTACAAGGTGCATTCTGTGAAGATTAATGGAATCCTTTTAGAAACAGGGAGCCACCCAAAGTTTCGAAACAATGTGGTGATGGGAAAAAGCAATGTTTTTCAAAGCAGTGTCAAGTGGAAAGGCACGTCTTTTGTTGTTGAAAGGTGGGGTCTGAAAGTAGGAAGACGTGTTTGGAGGTTTTGAATTAATTCCCCCTTATGACCATACAAAGGTGCCTGGAGATGTGAGACACAGAAGCAAAGTCATCAACTTCAGTCTGTGCCTGCACTGCTGACTCACTCCAGGCCTCGTTTTCTCAAGTTATAGGACAGTCATCATAAACCTCTTGACTGATTTAAATGGTCATAGTGAGTGTAAAACAGAAATGTGTACAAAAAGTGCTTTGAAAAAATATAAACCACTATCTAAGAAAAATCCCTGTCATAATTGTGAGATCTTAACTGGTTGGGGAAAAATAAAAGCTCTATTTTAAATGAATATAATAGTGGGTGTGGGTAAATACATTCAGATTGGAACACTTCTTGAATTTCCAACTGTTTAATCTTCTTAGGTCAATTATTTGGGAGGGAGGAACAGCTGTCTATTTTGAAGAATGTTGCAGGATTTACCAGTTTCTGGTCTTTATTTGATCCACTTCACATAAGAAAAATGAAACATTTTGGTAAAGGGATAGTGATTGAAAAATGCTTATGTTCAGAGATCTACCCTTTTGATAACAATATTTACCTGAAAGGAAACCACTATTCAGTGTTCTCAGTCTACAAAATCTGAAACTCAGTTTGGCAGATAACACTTTTATTAGCATCTGGACACTAAGCTGTTTTACTTTCCATTACTATCTTATGTAAAAATGTATTCATTACAAAATTAATTGAAAGTTTGAAATGCAAAGATTTTTAAAGCACGATGTTTTAAATAAATTAGTATTAGTAGCAGTAGTAATGCTGGGGTGAAAAAGAAAGCATCGTTTCAATACCAAGTTCTAAGATGTGGTCAAGAAACTCAATGATAATAAGAAGATTCTAGCAATTATTCTTTCACATGAAATTGTATTTCCAATGAGCATTTTGATTGAGACTATCTAAGAAACAATATTTAATTTCATTTTTTTGCTTTTCTTATCTTCGCTTTATCTTAAAATACATAGTAAGATGAAAATAGAATTAAAATTACTAAGTAAGTAAATATCAAATTTTGAGTTAAAATGTGTTCTAAATAGAGCAGAACCATCTTCAATAACTTCTTCTAGAGAATATCTAAAAAGCAATCTTTAGGAAAAGAATTGTGGGCTAAATGAACTAAATTAAATGAAATAAAATATGTGAGTTATCTTTTTCTCCTTTTCTCTTTTTAACAGATAGAACAATCTAATATTTACATAAATATAAGAAACAAAACAATATATCAAAAATGTTATATCAACCCCTCAAAAAATTAAAATTTGGAAATCAGAAGAACCTTGCCAATTGATTCTGGTTAGCCCTGCCTATCTTGAGCAGTATTCAGGAAAGATGTAATTACTGCTGCCAATTACCACTCCCACTTAATACCTGAAACCGGTTTTCACACAGAGCCAGAATACTCGGGACGTTTCCCACAAACCTCTTAGCCTTTGGCACTTCCTTTCCAGTCAAGAGTCAATCTGATAGCCTAAGGTAAGCGCTGGCTTGCTTCAGAATGTTCATCATAAGAAAGTTATAAAGACAATGATAACCACACACAACTACGCTATGGAAATTGACTGCAGAATGCCAGGCTGTGCCCTGCAGTGGTTCTCTGGCCTAAACCACAATGTGAACAGTGCCTCCTGGAGTTGTTCAAGGGCAGCCTTCACACTGCTACACAGAAGTATCTTTGTGATGCCTAAAAAAAAAAAAAAACAGGGGACTTGTCCTGAGTGCAGTGGGTTAAAGTACAGCTCCATGAAGCTAGCTGCAGCCACTTCAGCACAAGTTTGATCCCTGGCCAGGGAGTTGACCCACATGGTGTAGCAGACTTCTTCTCACTCTCCTACTGCTCCCCTCAGCTATATACCTGCTCTGCTTCCCACTCTGTCACTGGTGAATCCTCGTACCACCCCTGCTCCTCTGACCTGTACCCCAGTTCTGTTGGCATAAATAAAGAAATCTTTAAAAAATTTTTTAATATGCCTTGACCTGAATAATAATATTAAGAGATTATAGCATATCAAAATAGTTCTTTCATAGCTTTATCATTAAGCTTGGCAAAGAAGTGATTATTATATTAAGCACTTGGTCTGGATTAAGGTTCCTCTAAGTGCTTTCCACCTATTAATTTATTCATCCCTCACAACAAACCTATAAAGTAGAACTACTATCTGTATTTTACAGGTGAAGAAGCAAAGATTAAGTAATTTTCTCAAATTATATAACTGGTACGTGGCAAGATTAGGATTTCCATTCTGGGAGTCAGGACCCAGAGTCCAATTTTGTTTTACTACACTTGACTCCATCTCATACAGCATTTAGAATTAACCAAAAAGACAACTCAGTTGAATGTCAGGAAACTATTGAAACTTTAAGTATTAAATATTCAAATAATTATATTAGCAAATTAAATCAATTAGGTAGCCACATATAAGTACGAATGAACTAAAGTAATTGTTTCTAAAACACTATTCTAAATAATGTAATGCTACAATTATATTTCTAAATCTCTAAAACACACAGCAATATTCAGAAGTACTTAACTACTGCACATCAATAAAAGTCACATTTTCATAACTTTACCTAAAATTAGGGAACAATCCTGGTGGTTTGACTTTAAAAAAGAAGATAGAAAATGAGTAAGGGTTTTAGATTGAATAACTTCTCTAAAGATTGTGATTCTATGAAAATGTTGAACAAACGAGATATCTGTGTGCAATCTTTTTTCTCCAACCCATAGTTTAGGGCTTATCCTTCCTTTGCTTCCCAGGAAAGCAGGAATTGTGCCTTAACATCTATTTGAACAATCATTCTCTGTGGAGCTAGTACAAACATGATTCATATTTTCTGGATGACTCTTCCTTGTTTTCCTGTAAAGGGGAGCGTGCCTGGCCCAGCCCTCTGCTCACATGGGGCTGAGTTGTCCCTGTGAATTGAGAAGGAGTAGTGCAATTACCCTATTCCTCCAGTCTTCTCACCCAACTTATGTATGATCTTGCTTAATAAAGAGCAGCAAAGCTATAAAATCATTTTGAGGCCTATTATAACTGCATGTTCATCTTGTGGATAGCTTGAACACCTGACATTTGAAACAGGGTCTCAGTGCTAAACAGTCTGACATCCAATGTCTGATGAAATCCCTCCTTTGCTTCAGAGTAGGACCTTCCTCTTTATTATCACTTTCCAACTAAACAATGTAATAAATGTGCATTATGTCAGGACTATCTTCAGTCTTTAGCAGTTAACTTTAGTATAAAATTAGAATCTAGTGTAGTGGTGGTCTACATGCTTTATAGTCAGGCTACCAAGAGCCAAGTCCTGACTCTACTAAGGCTGTTAGCTGGTGCAAGGCATTCACTCTCTCATCTCTATTCCTTCATCGATAAAATAGGGATTATATTAATCAAATCTCCTTCATATGATTGCTGTAAGTACTGAATGAGGTGGTAAATGTAAATCTCTTAGAACAGCAACTGACACAAACACCACAATAAATATGAGTAACTATTATCACTCTATTTTTGTCTGCTCACTTATTTTCAAACCATCTTTTTCCTACCAGCTTGTCTCTAGATCAGTTAATCAGTCAGCAAATAGTCTTTAACATGTATTGAAGGACTGGTTTTTTAAGGTTGTATGGGAAAAAAAATAATAGAGAAGTTCTGATTTGGAAGTTTATAATTCTTTTGACTTAGCGCTATAAAGTACATACAGCAAAATGAAATCACATACATAATAAACTGTTATTGGTTAAACCACCTGGTTCAGAGTATGCACTGTACAAACACCCAAAGCAGACATCAGGGAAGACAGTTTCGTGGAGATTGTTGGAGCTTGAAATGATCTTAAAGAATGGGTGATACTCAAGTGGGTGAAGGAGAAAGAAAAATACGGCCCATGTAGAAAACAAGATGGAAAATGACACATATGAAGATCCTGTGTGCTCTAGAAAAAGTAAACAGCCTAACCTGCCTGTCTTCTTTTTATCCTCATTTAACTTATTTCAGATCACTATCAAACCTGAATTCAAAATTTATTTTTTTTAAAGATTTATGTTTATGGCCCTCCTTGGTGGCGCAGCGGGTTAAAGCACAGCCCTAAGAAACTGAAGCCACTTCCACATGAGTTCGATTCCGCCTGCCCCGGCGGTGACCACATGGCGCGGCAGACCTCTCCTGACCCGCCCGCTGCTCCCCTCAGCAGTGTACTTCGTCGATCTGCCTGTTCTGTTTCCCACTCTGTCTCTGGTGAAGCCTTCACCACCCCTGAGCCTCTGACCTGTACCCCAGTTCTATATGCGCAAATAAATAAATTTTAAAAAAAAAGATTTATGTTTATTTATTTATGCATATGGAACTAGGGTATAGGCCAGAGGCATGGAGGGGAGACAGGAGGGAGCAGGGGGAGGGGACAGGTGAGAGGATTCACCAGAGACAGACTGGGGAGTAGAACAGACAGATCTACTGAAATACACTGCTGAGGGGAATAGCAGGCAGGACAGGAGAGATCAGCTGTGCTTTTGTGGGTCACCTCCCTGGCCAGGAATCAAACTCATGCTGTGGTAGCTTCGATAGTTTGCTAGCACTGACTTTAACCCCTGCACCACCAGGAAGCCCCTAAAGTCAATATTTAAACTGAAGTAACAGGACAGAGGTGAGCAGGCCTGTGTCCCACAGCATACTCTACTTAGGGTTGCAATAGCTACCCCATCTTTTATGTTCTAAATCCTAAACCAGTCTAGCTCCATTCCATTCTCTCCACTTATGTATGTACAACAAAGATAATGCCCTACCTTGTAATTGAAGCGAACTAATATGATATATCATTTTTTTGAAGCTTATTACAATGATGATCTCCATTGTTTCCCAAAGCACAGGCTTCCATAACTGCTGGAAATGTAAGAAATGTGTGATTCAGATGATAGAACAAGAAAAACTTGATTATACTGAAAACAGTTTCTTTTTCTTGGTAGATTTTTACCCTTTTGTATACTACTTCTCCCAACAAACTACTATCTGAACAACAGAATGCAATAACCATAATGTATTTCTTGTGTCATTACTTATTTGAAGAATTCACAGTTAATTTGACTTTATTTAAATATTTACAGGTGATGGTATTGGTACATGGAGAATGGAGAATTGAGGTAAAGTAAGAAAAATGTTTATGCTATTAAAAGTAGAAAAATAATTACTTTTTAAAATTTAATTGTAAAAACAAAATTAAAATTCTAACAAGTAACCCAACAATATATAAGTATTTCAAGCATTCTTTTTCTTTTCTTAAGCAAATCAATAGGTTTTTATTAAATGGGTCTTATATACCCAGGTAGATATTGTGGGATATGATAAAGGAAAACATGAAATATGACTAAATACTAATATTAAAAATTATATAGTCTTGCCACTGTTTCACTTATATATTTTCCTTGCTTGACAAAGTGCAGCACACTAAGTACTAACAGTCTTAGAAGTCTTGAGACAGGGGATTCCTCAAGCTATCTGTCTATAATCAATCCTCAAAGCAAAAGTTTCCAACAATGTGCTTACTAAAACAGAATCCCTTTGTCACTAGACAAAAGGACAGGAAGAAGATGGCACAGCACTACAACCAGCCAAAAGGAGATACAAACGTGAATGGGTGAAATTTGCAAAACCTTGCAGAGAAGGAGAAGACAATTCCAAAAGAAATCCAATTGCCGTGGTAAGTCACAATGTGGATTTTAGAATATAAGCATGTTAGAGGTGTTAAAATAAGTGAGTTCCTATTAACAAAATGTGGAATCCACTGGACAAATTAACTTGGCATCTTCAATCAAAAATTATAATAACAACAACAATAAAAGAAAGAACAAGATCAACTATGGCTTCTAGAATAAAAAATAATTGAGACATATGGACTAATTTCAGTGGTCAGAAAAAATATGCATATAAGATGATTAGAAAAATGGATTGACCATTCATATATTGAAGCTGGGTGATGATATATAGGATTCTAATTGCATATGCATTTAAAAACTTAAAATCATAATAAAAAGAAATAATTTTGCTACATATTTTAACAATACAATTCCTTTCACTTTTCCTCTCCAAGTTTCCTTATTTAAACAGAAATGAATGTCCTTTTTTTTTTTTTTTTTTTTACTTAACATAATCTGTGAAGAGAGACAGCATTCAGAAATAGTCTTGGCAATTTTAAGTTTCCTTGACTTTCTTTCAACCTTTTTAGCATCAGAATGGCGGCTACATGCCCTGAGCAAATATTCTAAAACCAAAATGATTAGCACATATCCATATCAGTTCATGCTGGTCCACAAAAGTAACAACATGAATTTATTTCACATTCCTTCTATATATCATGTCAAAAAGTAAACAGCACAATAACTGAAAAGTGAACAGATGACTTAAGACTATGGAGGTGGAGGAAAGAAGGGAAAAGAAAAGGCCTGAGTGGTATTCACCGTGACATTTTGGGTATTGTCTGCTGCAGATTTCTTCAGATATTCAAGCAAACCAGAAAATTACCTACCAAATCTCTGGAATGGGAATTGATCAACCCCCATATGGAAAATTTGTTGTTAACAAAGACACGGGAGAAATTAACATAACATCCATAGTTGATCGTGAGGAAACTCCAAGCTTCCAGGTAAGTTTGCGCCTTCAGTATCGGGCCCCTTCTTCTAAGAGAAGGCACCCTGAAAGGAGTGCTCTTGTTCTGGTTGGTTGCAGGAACATGCATCAATCCAGCATCAAGACTAGCCTCTCTACTTAGGGTCTCACTTGTAGTTGTGTCCTTGAAGGAATCTACCAGGTGGGTGCATGAGAGAGCCCCGAAATGCAGTGTGCAGCTGGCTAAGAGCTTCTCCTTACCCTAAGACAACCTTCAGGAGGGGGCAACGGGTCTCACCCAGCACAGGCACCTTTTGCTATTTTGTCTATTTTCTTTTTTGTCTTTGCATCCAATTTCAATATGGCAGTAAAGTTTCTACAAATGTTAATAGTATGCAAACTAAGTTTGTAGCGTGATTTTAGTATTTTCCCTCTTTTTCTAGATCACATGCCGTGCCATAAATGCCCTAGGCCAAGATGTAGAAAAACCACTTATATTAACAGTCAAAATTTTAGATATCAACGACAACCCTCCTGTATTTTCACAAAGTATATTCAAGGGTGAAATTGAAGAACACAGTGCTTCAAGTAAGTCTTACAGTACCTATATTTCAATTTTTTTTTTTCAAACACAAATACCACTGTACCGCATCATTGTTATAAGCTTATTTATTTTCTCAGCTTCATCAGTAATTCTGCAGAAAAAGTCCTCAAGATAACCTGGGGCTTCCTTTCTGATTTTTATAAATGAGCTAATTATCCATAATCTTTCTATTTTTAAGTAGTGATTCTGTTATCAAGCCAGCGTATCTTGTTCTATGTATGAAAGTGAATTATTTACTCAGCAGTCACAAAACTAAAGTGGCCTTGGGTAATTCAGATACATAGGTTGGCCTTTTTTTTATAGTATAGAGACAGAGATTTATTTACATTATTTGGATAATAGAAGGAGAGGTATACAGTCACTCACTATCAAGAGCAGAAATAAGGACAATAGTCTCAACCCCAACACAGATAATGTTTAGAGAACTGGAGAAATTTTATGGAAGGCAGCACAGTTCTACCTGATTGAGGTGGGTGTCACATAATTTCTTTTGAGCCTACAGGTGTGTGCTTTTTTTTTTTTTTTAAAGATTTATTTATGTATATATACAGAACTGGAGTACAGGCCAGAAGTGTGATTGGGGGGCGGTGGTAAGAGGCCTCACTAGAGACAGAATAGAGACCAGAACAGGCAGATTGATGAAATGAACTGCTGAGACAGGAGAGACAGGAGACAGCTGAGGCCTGCCAGCCACGCCATGCGGGTGAGACAGGAGAGGCCTGACTGCCATGCCATGTGGGTCAGCTCCCTGGCTAAGGATTAAACTTGTGCCGCAGTGGCTGCGGACAGCTTCCTAGTGTTGCACTTTAACCTGTTGCGCCACCAGAGAGGGTCCTGAGCCTATAAGTTTTAAAATCTTAAAACACAAAGACCACTTTCAAACTGTGTGAAATATTTAATATGAACATGATGTCAATCTTTACATATTCTTCAACAACTTTATTTCTAGACTCACTGGTAATGATACTAAATGCCACAGACGCAGATGAACCAAACCATTGGAACTCTAAAATTGCTTTCAAAATTGTCTCTCAAGAACCTGCAGATGCACCCATGTTCCTCCTCAGCAGACACACTGGGGAAGTCCGTACTCTGAGTAATTCTCTTGATCGAGAGGTAAAGCAAGACACTTGGGAACATTCACAAATAAAATATTTGATCATATAAAAGTAATAGAAGAAATTCATTCTACCAAAGGAAAAAAAAAAAGAGGTTCTCAGTATGTACTTGTGCCAAATCTAAGGGAAATTATCTAAATCTGAGTGTGATTCTAGTGGGGTACAATATGTACCAGGAAACTGTGCCAGTAATTGTACCCCAAGCACATTCATTATCAGTACACCAATGGAAGTTAAACTGAAAGAGTAAAAGGAAAAAAAACAAAACAAAACACTGGCTTGCATGGCCAAAAATTGAACTCTAATCTTTCAGAAAATGTGTCTCTTAAACAAAGGGAGAAATTTCTAGCCTTCTCCAATGCCACACTGTTTCTCTTGGTTTCTTTTCATTTTACTCTGGCTTACAGGACATTAAATAATCACTTTCCTCTCTCTTTCCTGTCATTCTGTCAACACAGCTACCACTACCATCATCATCTCCAGCACCATGTACTATCTTGTCAAGTTCCAGATTACTGAATGTACAAATGACATTTCACATAGGCTGGCAGGGAGCTACATCAGTGATCTTCAGTCAGACAGGCATTCCACCAAACCTATCACCTATTTTTATCCTCAGTGTATTTTCTTACCATAAAAAGTTCACAAAAGAAAGCTTTTTATGGTCTAGTTCCTTAAAGACGTCTGCCCAGCCATCCAGAGCCTCATACATCTCCTCTACAATGGACAGCAAAAGTGTATGTGATTTTCCAGAAAATGAGTCATGAGCTTGAAAACTTTCACCTCATTTTTCTTTACTTTTTCTCCAAATGTAGAAATCTAGCAGTTATCGTCTGGTTGTGAGCGGTGCAGACAGAGATGGAGAAGGACTCTCAACCACATGTGAATGTAGAATTAAAGTGAAAGATGTCAATGACAATTTCCCAATAATCCAAGAATCCCAGGTAAACTTTTCACTCCTTAAAGAAGCATTTACATATATATGTATTTTTATTATATACTTTACCATCCCAATTCAGTAATTATTTAATAGCTTTTATTTAAGATTTCTGCTCTTTTCCTCAAAAAATAAATTTTGTGAAAGATAAGAATTCAAATAACCAGCAAGGAAGTAGTGTATAATTTGAAAATGAATACTATTCATATAAATAAAAATCCCTTTCAATTAAGACCTGCGCTGAATCTTAAATTCATCTTCTCTCCTTTTCAGTATTCAGCAAAGATTGAGGAAAATACTTTAAGTTCTGAGTTGCTACGATTTCAAGTAACAGATTGGGATGAAGAGTTCACAGATAACTGGAATGCCGTGTATTTCTTTACCTCTGGAAATGAAGGAAATTGGTTTGAAATACATACAGACTCTAGAACTAATGAAGGTATCCTGAAGGTGGTTAAGGTATGCTGACTTACCTTCAGAAAACATGCTAAAGTACATAGAACTTTTTAAGTCCACATAGGTCTATTATCTAAGTATTTTTCTTAACATGATTTATTTCCTGCCAACCTATCGCACTCTAGGATAAATATACATTACTATAGATATATTTATCGGTGCACCTGCTTTAATGAGAAGAAAACAAAACACATGTCTTAAATTAATCTCATTCACTCTCACTATTGGATTGAAGTTAGAGAGAAAAATACACAGAACTGTGGCTTACAAGTGTGTCAACTTGCTTTTAAAAAGACTACCAAAAAATGAAAATTTTCTCTAGAAAATGAGAATTGTATGTAAACTCTACCTGCAAGGTAAAAATAATTGAGTAAAACTTCCATTTAACATGCTTAATTATGGTAAGACATTCATCTAATGTAATATAAGGCTATTTCTGCCTAAATATTGCATAAACTAGAAAAAATATCGGGACTATTACTTAGCATGAGGCATTAGACTCTATGGGTGTTTCTTTCGTTAATTCATTTAATTGAGTTCAGTAGAGTGAGGGGCCTATAACATCCCATTAACAAGGAAATTACCAGAGCCACACAAGGAGTTCTTATCAGCGGGCTTTTCAGAGAGTGAAAAGTGATCTTACTTGCAAATGTTTTGTTATAAACACCCAGAAGTGCCTACGCATGAAATATTTCGTATCCTGTTTTGGTGCTCTCCAAGCTCCCAAACTGGAAACCTGAGACTTACCCTGAAATCATGGCATTTCCTCACAGCATAGAGTGAGTCAAGTCTGTCCTAGAAACTGACTCTGTCTCCCTCCTTACAGCCTGTGCCCTAGCCAGCCTGGCCTCCCGCCCCAAGGGATGGCAACCTCTCCTAATAGGTGATCCCACCTCCTATTTCTACTGCCCTCTGTTCTCCCACTGCCACAGAAGGACTAATTGTATGGCAAAGGATAGAACTGGACTTTTAGTGGTGAACTTAAAGTAGTATATACAGATGTTGAGTGATTGTAATGTGTACTCTGGGAAACTTATATATGTTAGCAGGCGATGCTACCTAATAATATATTTATTTAAGTATATTTATAATAATATAGTTTAAAAATACATGTATATATGTATCCATACATATATATTTTTAAATAATGATATAAATTAATTAAAAAAATAATAATTCAGACAGTTACTCTCCTTCTTAAAACCTTTCCTTATTCTCCATTGATGCTGAAAGTCACCCACATCTCCATTTGCCCACTCAAATCACCTGCAACCCTTGGCTGGACTTAGTTGATTACAAGGAGAGGCCAGGCAGCAAGTCTCCTCATGAGACTCTACTGCGCACCCCTGCTGATGGCCAGCTGCTGCCTTGAGGCAATATTCATCCTCAAAGCTAAGAAACTAAGTGAAATGACCATAATGAAAACAGGTCCTCAGTCATTTTTGGCAACATCACCAGGATTTTTTTTTCTTTTTTTGAACCAATGCTGTCATGAAACGTTGAATAAAACAATGTTTGAGGACCTGCTGTATAAGGCATGTGCACCCAGCCCACTCCCTAGGACCTACTAAACTCCGTGGAAATTTGCTATCAAATGGCAAAAACAAATCCTGGGATATCAGGCCATCACCATCAGAGGTTTAAAAAATCTATATTAGTTACCAGCAAGCCCATCTACAGAGAGTGGATGAGACATCCACTCTCTGCTTTGTGAAGGCCTATTTGCCAACCAAGTTTAGTAAGATAGTCTGCCCTTGCCACCTAAGGATTTTTGTTATAGTACAGGGATAATTATTCTGTGAATGGCCATAGGTACCACTAATAGAAATGCATCACAAGCTTAATATTTTCAGTCATGACAACAATCTAATGAAATTAGTTTTTTGTTCAGAAGTGGAAAGTTGAGGGTCAGAGAAATTAAATGTTGTGCCTGGTTCACAGACAGCTCTTAATAGTAATAGAACCAAGATTCTAACAATTCTACTATTGCAAATTTGGAATTCTTTCCACTGTACCACACAGCCCCAGAGATTGTAATGATGTTTTTTTCTGGCTGGTCTAAAAAGAGATACTCTGCTTTGTAAATATCAGTTACCAAACTAAGATCTAATGAACTAAGAATCCTAAAGTTTTCTCTTATCTCCACATTCAGTTATTTCTGAAACTGTGTTTTGTTGTATCGTAATAAAAAGATCTACTTAGACTATGTAGCATACAGTTTTCTTGGCCTCTTTGGATTTGCCAGATCATATTTTTAAACACTCCTTTCCTGCTAATTTTGTTTTTACTTTAGGCGCTAGATTATGAGCAACTGCAAAGCATGCAATTCAGTATTGCTGTCAAAAATAAAGCCGAATTTCACCAATCAGTAATCTCTCAATATCAAGTTAAGTCAACGCCAGTCACAGTTCAAGTAATAAATGTAAAAGAAGGTATTATATTCCATCCTGGTTACAAGAATTTTATTGTCCAGAAAGGTATAAGTAGTAGCAAATTGATCAATTATGTCCTGGGATCCTATCAAGCCATTGATGAAGACACTGGCAAAGCTGCCTCATCTGTTAGGTAAAATAATTTTTACATTATTTTATTATTCCTTGATGTAGTTTTCATCTATAAACTATCACAAAACAACACCTAAAATATTTGCCAAGATCACAGAGACATAAAGTATATCACCCACACATAATTCAAGAGCCGTGTAACTAAGTCATTACAGCATACTGTTTAAGCAAAAACAGAATGTCTTCTTAGCCTGTTTAGAAAAGAAAAAAGTTTCATAGAAACTATCATTGAGTCTTAACAAAAAAAGAGTCGAATTTCACCAGAAGTCCATGGAACAACTAGAGAGAACAGCACCTACAAAAACTCGTACTTAAATTCCAAGTGCACTACCCAGAATAATTGCTCTTGTATAAAGTTACTTTACTGTGCAGAGCGGATATTTGAAAAGTGAGACTAACACATATTTAAGGATTTTGAAATACTCCTTTCCATGTTAAGTTCTAATTTTCTGCTGCTTTTTATGAAACTAGATTTCAATGTTTAAAGTATAATACCTTAAATATTAAATGAGTCATTTTCATTAAATAGGTAACATTCCATGTTTAAAAAAACCATTCTCTTTTTCTGTTAAAAAACAGATATGTCATGGGACGTAATGATGGTGGTTTGCTAATTATTGATCCAAAAACTGCTCAAATCAAATTTATCAAAAACATTGATCGGGACTTTACTTTCATAATTAACAAGACAATCACAGCTGAAGTTTTGGCCATAGACGGTAAGTAAAGTAATGGAATTGTTTTCAGAGAAGTGTTACTAAAATTGCCATTCTTCATGAATAAGTGGTTATGCTTACTTAAGATATTACCTCTATCATTAAGTAGAGTTTATTATCTTAGGGACCTTGAGTCTCAAGTCTAAGGCAGTTGAATATGGTAGAAGACAGCATTACAATTTCTCAGTAGAGTTTGAAACAACAGTACATTTTATAATCCATCCCTGGGCTTACCATGATAAACTGTGTTTTGCTTTAGAAGCAAAAATATTTCACACAGTGCTGGCTCACACAGTAGATACATTTAAGAAAATTCTCCTTTTGATGTTGCTTCACTTGTAATCAGTAAATTCATCCCTTCCACCTCTGGTTCCAAGCAAATTAAATTAATAGCCAACACCCCTAATTAGAGACACCCTCCTTGTTGACAAATTTAAATTTGCTTTTCACAAGATGTGGAAATTGGACAACATCTTTTGACTTATAAGATAAATATACCAGGAGAAGCCACGATTGTTGGTTGTACACAAAAGAAATATAAAAGCTCAACTTTTTTGGTATAATCTGTTAACTCTAACATATTATTTTTATAGAAATCACCGGTAAAACTTCTACAGGTACCGTGTATGTTGAAGTACCTGGTTTCAATGAAAATTGTCCAACAGTTGTCTTTGAGGAGAAAGCAATTTGCAGTTCATCACCTTCCGTGGTTGTCTCAGCTAAGTCAGAAGACAGAGATAAATATACTGGGCCCTACACATTTTCCTTGGAGGAGCAGCCCCTTAAGGTGCCAGCTGAGTGGAGGATCACGACGCTCGATGGTAATAATGAGTGGAAGCTGATCCGTCTTTACATTTCCAAAAGGATCAGAGATCCAATTTTGAGCAGATTTTTTTCCAAAAGTAATTTTAAAAATCCTTCGCAATGAAAGATACAGTCTTAGTCCTTTGAATTTCTTCTGTCTTTAGAAGAGAAATGATGGGTATGACAGACCACTGACACTACTAGTGCACTAGTGCAGACTGGCACAGCACAGTGACGGAGAATAGAGAACGCCAATGCTCCAGAGGACACAGACTACAGGACTTCACCACAGGGTGCCCCTGTAGCCAGCAGTGGACTCATGGAAGGACCACTGACAGGAGCACTGGAGTTCACAGCAGTCAAAGCAAAAACTCAGCCTTGATAACTCATGCACATGGACAGAATTCAAAAACATGGACAGAAGGGGAAGACAGACAACTCGAGGGCTGCGCAGGAGTCTGGGATTGGTCTAGACGTGCAGGAGAGTGCTTAAGTCCCAGAGAAGGGAGACCCAATTTTTTTTTTTTTAAGATTTATGTATTTATGTATACAGACTGGGGTATAGGCCAGAGGTGTAAGGGCAGTGAGAGGATGCACCAGAGATAGCGTGGGGAGCAGAACAGGTAGATCAATGAAGTACACTGCTGAGGGGAGCAGCGGGTGAGACAGAAGAAATCTGCTGTGCCATGTGGGTCACCTCCAAGGCAGGGGATCGGGCTCACACTGAAGTGGCTGTGACTAGATTGCAGTGCTGCGTCCTAACCCATTGTGCCATCAGGGACGGCCAGGACCTGATATTTAAATGATATACATATCCCATCCTTTTTGCGAGGGGGCAAGGGGAGAGGGAAGAAATCAAGGTAGCATGCCATCTTCATGAAGGAGAGTAACAGGTACACCTGGGAAGATAGGAGGAGGAAATACAGAAAAAATTCACCCAACTGAAACTCTTACAGCCTACACAACTACAACCACACCCACTACAGGCCCCCAATGTCTAGTGATGTCTTCATGACTTACCAAAAATAGTAGTTTCAAAGATTCAGTGATATCTTGTCCTATCATTGATGTGTGTGTTTCTCCACAGCTACCTCTGCGCTTTTAACTGCTCAGCAGCAAATAGTTCCTGGAAAATATAAAATCCCCCTCATAGTTAGAGATGGTAAGGATCAACTCTGTGAGATGCCAGAGGACTTGATCCTGGAAGTCTGTGATTGTGGAGCGAGTGATGTATGTGAAGAACCTAAGTCCATATATGGAGAGAGGTCGCGGTGGAGCCTGGGGCCGGGAGCCATCGGCCTGATATTCCTTGGACTTCTGATGTTGCTGTGTGAGTCTTAAAAATTTTCCTTCTGTTTTTCACAGGGTGTCAGTATTTGCAGAGGCCTTCACACTACACAGAAAATGCATCTCTGAAATTCAAAACAATCCCTGATACTCTTACGTGAGGAAAGGGCATTTTCAGGAAAAATCTGAAATGAATCTCTATTCATAATGCCAAGAATCTCTATTCATAATGCAGCAAACACATCTTATGTTCCACATTTAGGAAGCAGCATAAGAGAACCAAGAAGGAAAGAAAAAAAGTGAATACTTTCTACACACTGCCAGTCTTACTCATGGTCAAAATAATGACTTTGTCCATGAGTGTGGCATTTTCTAAAACGTCTTATCCATAATCAACAAAAAACAACAACAACAAAAACCTTAAAAAACAACAACAACAAAAACCCTGGTCAAATATTTAAGGAAAATAAATAAGTATCATAGGCTCTAAGAAATTACTGCTTGATCCAAACATCCTAAAAATGTATTAATTTTAATAAAAGTAATTTTTATTCAATAGATAGACTTCTAAAAAATTATACTTACATCAAAATTTTGTGACCCAAATGGTATTTTGAATGTAATAATTCTATTCAAAAAAAACTTCATGTCAAATTCTTGAATAAATAAGAGAAACCCTAAACTACAAAGAAATACAGAAATTACATGACAATACACAGGTAACCATAACCCAGACTTAACCAATATTAAAATTTACCATATTCATAGATCTCTTTTCTTGAAAAAGAGAAATAAATTGTTACACATACACAGCTCGTGAGATGTGGCTCTGAACCATAGGCCGTTGTACATTTGGATTTGACGCTAAATGTGGCAGTGGGAGGAAACACACTGTCATTCCCACAATCATATTTGCTTCCTGTGATCCCACCATTTTAAAAATGTTATGTTTTGAATTTTGTACAGGACAGAATTTTTTAGTCTGTAAAAATATACTCAACACCTTGAAAAATCCCTCACACCTATAGAAACCAATATACATTGTCCACACAATGATGGACACAATTTCTAAAAGACTATTTGACAACTTAAAAATATGAACCATGTAGGGATCATCACACTTCAAAGTTAATTTGTCAAGTCACAATAATTAATCCTTCCTAAACTTTTAGTAAAGTTATAGAATTGAGAATGGCAATTAAAAAAGCCTTTAAAAGAATAGTTTATATGAACATTAAATTTTGAGAAAAGTATTGATTATTTATAATCATTTTACTTTATTAACACTAGACCTAATTTTTTCACACTGTATTAGGATTCACCTAATTTGTGTAACTAATGTAACCCATCCTAGTAACACTAGTAAATCCTCAAAGCACTAACTAGTGTCATTTACCTCTATTAACTCACTTAATCCTCACAACAATCTATGGTGTAGATACTAGTCTCCCATTTTATGGATGAGTTAGTGGACACAAGCAAAAGTGATATAATTTACCTATATGGGGAGTGACAGAGCCACTTAGAATTCTGTCTCCACAGACTATGCTCTGAAAACCCCTCACAAACTTGCTGCTAATTAGGCAAGATTCTAACTTTGGGTTCAGGTGATCCCAGCCGGCCAAAGTAGGGTCACTGATAAACAAAAAAAGGTGGGAAGCACTTAAAAATGAAGGAAACTTACTTTCTTGGCTCATTACCATGACCATGTTAATATCTATTGCAAAGATAAAGATACATATAGAAAGAATGAAAATTACTTTGGGAAGAAAGCTGCTCCAACCCAGGTATTCATAAGTCACAATCAAGAGGGCATTCATGGCCTATATTAAACCACCACTCTGGTTGCTGAGGGAGGCTTCTGGTTAATTAATGTTTACTAACATGATAAAATTCACATTATCATGGCCACCTAAAACCTTGACCATTCACTTGTGTGTTCACCCAACATAATATATGTAGCCTCAACATGTACATATAAATGCAATCATTAAAAAAAAAAAACACTATAGGCCCCCCCTTGGTGGCACAGCGGGTTAAAGCACAGCACTAAGAAGCTAAAGCCACTTCGGCATGAGTTCAATTCCCGCCAGCCCCGGAGGTGACCACATGGCGTGGCAGACCTCTCCTGACCCGCCCGCTGCTCCCCTCAGCAGTGTACTTCGTCGATCTGCCTGTTCTGCTCCCCGCTCTGTCTCTGGTGAAGCCTCTCGCCACCCCTGAGCCTCTGGCCTGTACCCCAGTTCTGTATGCACAAATAAATAAAACTTTAAAAAAAAAAAAACCACTATGGAAAAGGATTAAGGAACCACCATTATCATTCATCAAAATACCGTAAGGCAACAATTTACATATCGCAAGAAGAATTTAATCTGTCTTCCTCAGTTTCATAATCATATGAAATTTTAATATGCTTAATTTACCAAATTTTAGTTTATAAATGCTAATTTTGCTTTCTATCGGGATTTCCTATAAGTCTTGAAAATACTGTATTTGCTTTGTACATTTCTGAGAATTGTCACATCAAATCCTTTCAAGTGATTCAAGTGTTCTGATATTTTGCTTTGATTTGTTTACTAGTGGCTCCCCTTCTGCTGCTCACTTGTGACTGTGGGAAATTTGGGGGAATGCCAGGATTTATCCCAGTTCCTGATGGTTCAGAAGGAACAATTCACCCATGGGGGATTGAAGGAGCCCAGCCTGAAGACAGGGTAAGGATCCAATTTGTAAAACATTTACTTGAACTATTTGGAGAAAAATTCAATTTGAGATGAATGACAACAATGAATAATGAGGTATTAAAACGAACTCCATGGCCCACTGTTTGAGAGAGAATGCTGGTAGGAGACAGAATTTTATTTCTTCAGCTGTCAAATCATAAAAGTGTTTACACCTGTAAGAATTCAGGCTGGTTATTATTTCACCATTTTCAATTGACCACATTTTACATCTATGGCCATGGACTCTGGTTCACTTTTTAATATATTTATATTTTTTAATATTGCTTGCAGGAAGTCACAAATATTTGTGTGCCTCCTATGACAGGCAATGGAAATGATTTCATGGAAACTTGTGGTAAGTGAACACTGAATTTATTTTTTAAAGTAATAGTAATAGGTTAAATAAGAAAAAAAGAAATTTGAAAAATAAGAGGTATCTGATTTCATAAATGCATTTGTCCGTTGATGCTACATTTTTGATAGCTGAAGATTTGTTACATATTTTCTGACTTTTAATAAACCAAAGTGTAGCTTTAAACCATCACTGTTCTTTTCATAGGTAAAGATTTCATACCTATAGAAAAATATAAAAGAAAATATAATAAAACTGTGTACCTACACACAGTTTTGACTATTCTTATGTACTATGAGCAGATAAAGCCTTATGCACATTCTTGCAAATAGTCTAACCCTTCTACTTCTCCAGAACTAACAGTATCCTGATCTGAGTTCAAGTTCCAATTTTTATATTAATCATAATAGAATAAGATTGCTTATTTTGTCATAAAGGTGAAAAAGTTTGTTTTACCAAGTGACTGTTTTATTCATGTTACCTCAGTGCCGCAACTAAGACCAAAACCAGAGGAACAATAAGTCTTCATGCCTATCATTAAATTTTTCTTAATTCCATACTTAGTAATAGATTGTTTTTAAATGTACAAACTGCAAACTTTGAATGCAATTTGCCAAAAAATGTCACTGCCCTTATCAACTTCCCCAATCTTCACCTGCTTCTCTCATTATTACTACATAACAAAAACTATATTCAAAATTTTCTTTAAAAATATAACTCTGGGCCCTCCCTGGTAGCGCAGCGGGTTAAAGCACTGCACT